ACCTTGCAGAGCTGTGTCAGCTCATAGTAAGCCCACTTCCCTGGCACTGAAGTTATGCTGCAGCAGCTTAAACGATTTTTGTGATCTTGATGGTTGCTTACAGCAAAGAGAGAAGCTGTTGTGTGTTTCTCCGTTTAGCTAAAACAATGCCAAATCATTCCGCGTGCTGTGGAGAAAACTTGAAAAATTGTTTCAAAAAGCGCAGCAGTTAGAAAGAAGGCGTTAAATACTGCAGGATATGGGATTAAACCGTAGCGTAAAATTAAAAGGACAGTAAATTTAACGGGAAGAGCCAAATTTTATTTTAAAAAAATGAAACTCAAGCAAGTGGGTCACGATTTTGCAGAGAAGCGCCAAAATTAGGGCGCTTACCTCTGCGAATGAGTGTTGTGATAAAAGAAGTCTCGGTTGTTTTGCAGAGATGGAACCAAACTGCCTGTTTCACCGGATTTCACTGCGTTCTTTGATGGCGAAATTGCCCGATTAACAATTAGTCGAATGAGTGAACAGAAAAGCGGCTTGTTCAAGTGTACAGCAAAGAACGATTATGGTGAAGTAGACTGTTCAGCAATGGTCACATTTGAGCATTCTGGTTCGTCATTTTTTCCAAAATTTTTACCGTAATTAATGAGAGAAACGTTTTTATTAGACACCTAGTGGGATGTTTTTTGACTTTTCCTCCAGTTTTTTCAAGTCGTTTTTTTAATAAGCTCATTTTTATTTTGATCACATTTTGGAGGACAAATTTCGTATTAACGAGACTTATAAAACATTTTTTGTTCTACTTCATACAAAGCTGGTTTAAACTGTTTTAGAAGACGAGATGAGCCTGCACAAAAAGCGACGTACGGAAGTGAAAAGCAAAACCCCGGAACCAGAAAAAATGGAAACAGAAAAGAAAGAGGAAAAGCCGAAGTCACCCCTAAAGGCCAATCTTAAATCGGAACTTGAAGCAGAAGTAAGTTTGATATATTGGCAGTTTTGAATTTTTAAATAGGGATTCCAAAACTGTGTGCAGGAAAATACAAAAATTCCAGAATGTCCTTTTTGGGCCTCATCTTCTAAAACGTAGAAGACAGCTCAAGGCTGAGGAAAAGCAGCACGACAAAGTAAGTTCGCTTGTTTGCAGCCTTGCATGTGTTTGTTCTTCAAACCCTTTGAATATTGTAAAACAGTTCTTGGAGTTTTAATAAATTATGTGTGAATATAGTAGCGCAT